GAGTTATTTATGTTGAATTTCTATTATTTAACTCAGGTTAAAAAAGCAACATATTTGTGACTTGATCTTAGTGAGAATCCCTGAGGTAAGTCTTCTGTTTCTTCCCAGATGCCTACATTTTTACCTGTACAGTTGACGGAAAGCTTCCTCTGGTAGAAGGGGTTGATCATTACACAGGACAGGAAAGATGCAGCTGAGCCTGGAGCATTCCCTTGTGCCTGAAAGTAGGCAGTGCTAATAATTAAGAACAAAGCAAAAACCTACTCAGGTGAGGGTCTCTATGTCAAAGGGACACAGGAGGCAAGAGCAACAGTTCTAATGGCCAAAGCTAGAACAAGTTGAACAAACTAGAGTTGTAGATTATGTTAGGTGTGGCATACAACTGAAATCCCTGCTACTCAAAAAGCTGAGGTAGGAGCATTGAAAATTTGAAGCCATCCTAAGCAACTTAGTGAGACTTTCTCACAAAAAATGGGGGAGGGAGCTGGGAATGTAACTCAGTGGCAGAACAGCTGCCTAGCTCCAGGCCCTGAGTGGGATCCCCCACACTGGCAAATAAAAAATTAAAATTCAGGGCTGGAGTGGTGGCTTAGCTGTAGAGCACTCACCTAGCACATGAATGGCACTGGGTTTGATCCTCAGCACCACATAAAATTAAATAAACATAATAAAGTTATTCTGTCCAACTATAACTAAGAAAAAATTTTCTTTAAAAGTCATAGTGTAATATATTCACAGCAGAATCTTTGTTCCAGGTTTTGTTCACAAGGCATTCCCCTTTAGAGAAACAAAACCCTACCTGCTTTGTCCCACCTGTTGCCATCATAAACATGGAAGCAGTTTTATATTATATTATCTCTCAGTTCATATCACCAGGTCAGCCGTACACCTGTCCAGCCCTCCAGGCTTCAATTTAAATGTGCCCCAAACAGGTTCCATAACTGAGTCATGTTTAGCTCTCCATTGTCCATAGAAGTGTAGGCTAAAGATTTTATTTTGGTCAAATGTATCAGAAGGAACACCATCTCTCACCCAGGAAGATGGCTATTGCTGGGCATGCCCTTGAAGGCCTCTGATGCAGGCTCCCTGGGAGGTTCAGGTAGGAGCATAACAAGTTCAAGGATGATCTGGGCAACTTAGACCCTGACTCAAAAAAAATTTTTTTTAAAGGAGAGGGTCTGGAAATATAGTTCAGCAGTAGACATCAGGGTTGGGTAAGATGGCTACTATAAATAAATAAATAAAAACTCACCAGTGGCTGCAAAGATGTGGAGACATTGGAAGCCTCCTTCACTACTGATGGGAACGTAAAATGTTGCAGACACTGGACAAAAAATTATGGTGACTCCTCACAAATTAACAATAGAACTCCCAGAGGATCTAGCAATTCCACTTCTGGAATCGAAAGTCAAAAGATACCAATAGAATGGAAAGTAGGTTCTCAAAGAGACATATGTACATTCATGTTCACAGTCGCATGTTCAGAATCACTGAAATTGGAGAGCAACCTGCAATAGACAGGGGAATGAGCAGAAAACAGTATAGATATACGATGGAGCATTATTTAAAATTTTTTTTTAGTTGTAGATGAACCTAATGCCTTTATTTTGTTTATTTTTATGTGGTGCTGAGGATTGAACCCAGTGCCTCAAGCATGCTAGGCAATCCCTCTGCTGCTGAGCTCCTGCCCCAGCCCCTCAATGGAGTATCATTTCATCTTAAAAAGGAAGGACATTCTGACACATGCCACAACATGGAAGAACCTTGAGGACATGGTGCTAAACAAAATAAGCCTGTAAGGAAAATAAAAATACTTTGTGATTCCACTCACCTGAGTGTCCCTAAAGTAACCAAATTCACAGAGACAGAATGCAGAGTGTGGTGGGCCAGGTTTTAAGGAAGGGGAAAGATGTGTTAGTGTTTACTGAGGATGATGTGTCAGTTTGGTACGATGGAATGTGTTCTGTGGATGGATGGTGATGATGGCTGCAAAGCAATGTGAATGTACTCAATGCCACTGATCTACACTCTTAAAAATGGCTAAGATGGCTAGGCATGGGAGCACATGCTTGTAACCCCAGTGACTGGAAAGGCAGAGGCAGAAATGCAAGTTCCAGGCCATCCTGGAAAATTTAACAAGAACTTATGGTTCAGATATTGGGGTGTCACCCAAAAGCTCAATTGGAGACAAAGCCAGAAAGTTCAGAGGTGACATTATTAGGGATTAAGAATTTTAACCTAATCTGTGCCTTAATGCCCTGATAGAATAAATTGTGTGGAACCTATAGGTAGGTAGGATGTGGCTGAAAGAGGAGGGTCACTAGGGGATGTGCTTTTGGGGTATACATTTTGTCCATGTTCAGCAAAAGTCTCTCTCTGCTTCCTGATATCATGTCCTGAGCTGCTTTAATCTATCACAGCCTTCTACCATGAGGTTCTGACTCACCTTGGGCCCAGAACAATAGGGACTGAGATCTCTGAAACCTTGAGCCACAAATGAATCTCTCCAGCTCTAATTGTTCTTATCATGTCTTTTGGTCACAGCAGTGAAAAAGCTGATTAAACCCTGTCTCAAACTAAAAAAAAAAAAAAAAAAAGGAATGGGGATGTAGCTTAGTAGCAGCAGAATACCCCTGAGTTCAATCCCCAGTAAGAAAAAACAAAACAACAAATAAAGGCTAACATGACTAATTGTATTATATATATATATACACACACACATACATACACTGCAGAGGTACCAGGGCTGAAACTCGGGGGTCAGGGGTACTCCACCACTGAGCCACATTCCCAGCCCTGTTTTGTAGTTTATTTAAGGACAGAGTCTCTCTGAGTTGCTTAGCACCTTGCTTTTGCTGAGGCTGGCTTTGAACTCGCAGTCCTCCTGCCCCAGCTTCCTGAGCTGCTGGGATTACAGGCATGTGTCATCACACTTGGCTGTTATATATATTTCATCCCAATTATTTTTATCCCAATTGTTTTTTATCCCAACTATATATTTAAAAAGACACAGGAAAAAAAAGGGGGAGTCCAAATACAAACAAGTGAGCAAAGGCTTCTGGCTTTTCCCAAATTCCTTAGAAGAAGGTTCTAGTTTTATTTTGCTCATTGAGTATAAACTTTTGGATTCCTGTCTAGTGAATGAACAGCCCTGAACACATCCCCTCTCACTGAGCAGCCAGGCTTCTCCTCATTCTGCCAAGGTGTCCTGTCCCATGTCTTCATTTTCCAGCAGAGGTTTGCTCCCCTCCTTCACTAGGAGGGTGCACGTGAGTGAAAAGCAGCCCTACTCATCCTGCTGTCATTCCCCTCCCACTGCAGAGTGGGCACCTGCAGATTGAAATGTGAACTAAGGGACAGAAGGGACACAGATGAGATGAGAAGTGCATGTTTCCTGATTGAAGAGTTGTCTTTCTCTCACAGATGCATTGGGGACTAACAAATTGTGCTGTTTTCCCTGAAATCTTGTTTTTCTAACTGGGGTAGAGCAGGGCTCAGGGGAGCACACCTGTAATCACAGCTTCTTGGGAGGCCCAGGCAGGGAAAGAAATTCATGTTGAAACTAGTTGGAGGTTCATTCTAGATATAAGCCCTGCTTCCTGCATGCTGTTTGCACTGGCATTCCTTATTTACCTTTTAGTTCCCATCCTTCTAGGAATCCTTTCCTTAGGTCCTTTCATGATTCTCTTGCCTTCTCTCCTTTCCAGCTGGGGCTAAGAAACTAACTAACATGGTAACACAAGCCTTAGGAAAACCTCTGCTGAGCAGAATCACAAGGAAGGAACTGGCTGTTTTATTCTTAATCAAGCCATAAATATAATTCTTAAAAATAAGACCCATGTTGTCTTTAATAGAATTTTTTAATGTTCTCTTTAGTAATAAATGACAGTAGAATCTATTTTGCTATATTTATACAAACATGGAATATACCTTATTCTAGTCAGGATCCCCGTCTTGTGGATATACACAATGTTGAGATTCACTGTGGTCTGTTCACGCATGTACATAAAAAAGTTATGTCAGAAGAATTCCACTGTCTCTCCTATTCCTATCTCCCACCCTTCATTCCCCTGTGTCTAAAACCACTGAATTTCTATTCCCTCACAACTTGTTGTAGGTTAGCATCCATATATCAGAGAATATCAATATTTGGCTTTGGGGAGATTTGACTTAATTCACTTAGCATGATAGTCTCCAGATCCACGATTTACAAGTGAAGGTCATGAAGTCTTCTTCTTTATAGCTAAGTAATATTCCATTGTGCATATATACAACAATTTCTTTATCCATTCATTTATTGAACGGCACCTAGTTTCGTTCCATAGCCTAGATATTATGAATTGTGCTGCTATAAACATTGATGTGGCTATATTACTACAGTATGCTGATTTAAAAACCTTTGGATATATACCAAGGAGTGGGATAACTGGGTCCAATGGTTTCTAGTTTTCTTGAGGACTCTCCATACTTCTTTCCAGAGTGGTTGCACTGACTCAACTGGTATAGAAATACAGTGATTTATTGAAATAAATTCCCAGTCCAGGCTCACTCCCAGTTCATCCTAGAGTATCTTAAAATGTTTCTGGTCCTCAAAAAAACTTAGGTTTCATTTATGAATTCTAAAGGCTTTAAGTTGCCCTGCTTAACTGGAAATATATGGGAAGATGCCCTTGTCTACATTCCTTAGAAACAAAGGATATTTTTTGAAAAAATATTCTGGTTTTGAAAGAGAGTAGCTGGATTGAAGAAGTCTTGGAAGGAAGCCTCGGTAAGAGGATGAGGACCCACCTTATTTTGATCCCACAATGGCCCTGGTATGCCCTTCACCAAATGTGAATGCACTACACATGGTTCTAGTTTGGAAATCTCTCATGACATTAAATGAGGAAGTGTTGGATTTACTATAAGAGGGATGCTCATCTCACTTCACACTGAGTTTCAGGGCATTCATTTCTGTTGGAATAATTCTGAAATCATTCTTTCAGAATTATTGAACATACTTAAATCAGAGGCGACATTTATTGATTGTAATCCCAAACCAGTTTTTCTGAAAATAGTTATATTTCATTTTACTGTTCTTACTTCCACTAATGTAACATCACTGCACTGCAAAATTAACTCTGCAAAATGAAGTTCCCAAGGCGTGTTTCTTGATTTTGATACCAAGTGATAGAAAACATTACATTATCCCATATGAAAACATTTGTCTTAGACTCCTTGTTTCTTTCATCTCCTTTCGAAAGAGTTATAATCAAGGACTGTTTCAAAGAGTGATTCTTTCTCCTTTCACAAGTCGAGCTCGAAACATCCAAATATCCAGGAAATAATACCAAACAGAATGAGTGTTTGGAACTCATCCATTGGCCTATTCCCCACAAAAGATTTCTAGGCTCTACAAATGGTTAAATAGGAAAATAATGCTATGATTATTATACTGATTAATAAATAAACAAGCTTTGAAACTGCAATTAATTCTCTTGCCAACAATTAAAACAATGCCAACTGCATGAAGTCGGTGGATCCCCAAGCTGTCGGCCTCGCTGATCATAGGTAATACACCAGGAGGGTGGCTGTGATGCTCAGTCACAGCAGTTTACAACCCTTCTCTTGGCTTGTCTTTTTGTTACTTGCCTGAACCACTTTGAGGTGGCAACTCTGATGAGATTGTAGTAGTGAACATGGTACCATGGATACTGGTTTACTTGGGTGTGGGGAGCAGGTACTGGAAATGGAACCCAGGGCCACTCTCCACTGATCTATATCCCCAGGCTTTTCATTTTCCGTTATGAGAAAGGGGCTCACTAAGTTGCTGAGGCTGGCCTCACTTAGAATCCTCCTGCCTCAGCCAAACTGTGAAGTAGCTGAGATTACAGGCATGTGCCACAATGCACCCTGCTGCATTTATTAATAAAGCAATTGAGACTTTCTAATTTCTTGTTTCTTGTTGAGCATACAGCAAGGTATGGTGGAAAGAATAATTTCAGAATTAGGCCTGACTTTGAAATCTAGCTCTGTTCCTTAGGCCAGTCTCTGGGGCTCCAATTTGTCCTTTACAGCAGGTGTATTACAGAGTGTTCACTGCATTCTGGTGAAGAAAATCAGAAATGGGACATGGAAGTGTTTTAGTTTTATTTTTTTAAAATATATATATATTTTTAGTTTTAGTTGGACACAATACCTTTATTTATTTATTTATTTGTATGTGGTGCTGAGGATTGAACCGGTGCTTCGCATGTGCTAGGTGAGCACTCCACCACTGAGCCACAACTCCAGGCCCATGGAAGTGTTTTTATAAGTTAGAATTATATGAGTTGGTATTGTTATTCTATTATTCTATTTCTATTCTAAATATATCCAATAAGCTCTAACTTGTGAGATAACTAAAATATGGGTGGTGTTCATTCAGGATAACCTTTACAAACTTCAAATGTAATGTACACTACAGGACCCCTCAGCTACCAAAATCCATGGGTGCCCATGTCCCTACAATAAAATAACCTCTGTTCATCCTCCCATATATTTTAAATCACCCTAGATTACTTAGAGCACCTGGTGCAATAGAAACATGAGGTAATTGGTAGGCTATATTATATAGGAAATAATGATTTTAAAAATGTCTATATATGTTTAGTACAGATGCAATTTTTTTCAAACATTGTTTAATATTCTGAGTATTTTTCCAAATTTCAGTTGGTTGAATCACCAATCCTGGAGTATTTTCAGACAAGGGACACATTTGTAGATTCTAAACAGAGAAGCAAGATTCTCCACCCTGGAAGGCTGTTCTGAAGGTTCCCAATGGTACTGTGGCATCCCACTGGTGTGCACTGACCTACAGATTCCTGGATGGACTAGAGTTATCATCACACTTAGTTTCTTGATAGTACTTGCCCATATTATCATTATCTCATACAAATAAAGTAAAATAGGAATTCCTTCTTAGTTCAGAACATAAACTGTGTGTTTTATATAAAGTGAAGTTTTTTTTAATGGCTTTGATTGCTAATTTATCTATTGCTCTTTAGTAGCATTGAATGTTCACTACTTAGAAACAAATACTTTCCAAGTGATGTGTATTAATTAGGAAAGCACATGAAACACTATCTAATACCCTTCATCTATAAGCATTACTTCATCTTTGCTCTAGATGCAAATTTACCAAAAGCAACACTGGCTCCAGAATTGCTCCCTGAAGTCTTATAGGATTGCCTAATGAAATGATTCTTTACCAAGAAGGGAGGCCTGATTGAAGTCCCAAACCTTTATGTTTGTTCCTATGCATTCAGAATTCCCATATCCTTCATTTCAAATTAAATTAGGTATTAAATAAGCGTGTGAAGACAAGAAACTTCAGACATTTTACTTGGTTATTTCATGCAAGTGTACCTTCCGTATAATTTATCTGCTATTCCCACGGCTTCTTTCTCAACATGTTCTTGACTGGTGCCCTTCACATCAATGTAGTGGCAATCAGAACTGGCAAAATGGCAGGAAATTGCCTGTGCAGAATGAACAATTGATAATGGAGAAAAGTATGCTATGAATGCCAACAACCAAGCTAGGAGGAGTTCTCCTTTCAGGGAGTCCATTTTTCTGCCCAGGATTTGACTAGTCAACTACCAGGCCCTCCGTGGCATCCTAAATCTGTCACTTTCTAGGTGAGCCTCTCCCTCCTGCTCTCCCACCTAAAGGCTAATTAAGAAATGACTAAACAGTCTTTTACCTAATTATTTATTTTTTAAAGATATATATAGGACAGGCGGCATAATCATCTAAGTATCAGATCTTCACATTTCTAAGCATTTAAAGTTTTCTTTAAACTCTATTTTCTGTGCAGACCCTGTGCCAGACAAAGCCACATCAAGGCACAAGGCATAAGGAAAATTGTGTACTTCTACACCCATGTTGTTAGGAAATAATTGTAAATGTTCTTCCAGAACCTTAAAATCAGTGAAAATATGGAAATATTGCAAAGTGAATATTTTACAAATTACAGCACTATTTGCATCTTTGTGCTTGCACTTCCATACTTAACAAGGCCTGAGGGTTATGCTAGTGTGGGTACTTCCTGTCTTTTATTTAAATTTTTGAAATTGTACACAGCATGGATTTTTTTGCATTAATTTTGATTTAGTAAAACAGCATTTAACTTGATGGCTGAGGTTTTTGTAGCCCCTTCAATTTTATCCTCAGGCACTGCCCCAACTGGTATCAACTTGTACCAGGCCCTAGTGAGCCTGGTGCAAATATAAATGAATAAAGTCTGCAACCCTATACTTGGGGTTAGAACAGGGATCAGTGGGAACCAGGGGACAAACTGGAAACCCCACTGAATCTTAAAGGAGCCTTAATATTATGGACAACCTTGTTACCATGAGAAAAGTGAACCCACAATACTCTAAGATCTGCTGAATTTGAGACAAGTGAGAAATCAGGGAAATTGTAAGGAATTCTGTCAATTTTTAAATGTCAGTGACAGAATTATTTAATATAAAACACTGAGATTGGAGGGGGATAAATATGTGCAGACAATTCAGAACCTTTGCTTAGGATCAATATTGTTTTTCCCAGTTAGTAAGGATATTCTATAATAATAAGGATATTCTAAATTTGCTTCTTGTTCTAGTTACCCTGAGCAATACAAATCCCAAATGTGATTATTTGAGTATTTTAATGATCGTTTTATTTAAGAAAGCAGAAATTGGGTACTGCAAGGTGAGCTACTGCTCTGAAGCAATTCCACAAATGACCAAGATTCACAAGTAACAGGTTTAGGATCCTGAGAGCACCTGGTTTCTGACTGAGTAGAGGAAAAAAAGTACAAGGAAGGCAAATATTCTTCCTGGTTAACAAACTGGAAAAAACAGTCCAGTTTAGTGAAAAGTCATAAATCTTTTATGTGCTAATATACCTATGATTTTCTATTTTGAACCCATTTATCTTTCAAAACTGAAGCAACATTGATGCATACTTTCTGGAATCCTTGAGTTTGATTCCGACCAGATCCATGGATGAGCAATGGGTGGAAGAAAACAGTGTCTCCCTTCTCCATCACAAGGTGCACTCGGGCATGGTCCTGATCATAGTCCTGGATCCCATAGTAGAAAATGTTAACTCCACCCTGAAACACATAAGATAGGCAAAGTCTGGAGGAAGCAACAAAAAGAACACTTTGTGTATGACTTGGCAGGGACAGCAAAGGTTCTCTGACTTCCTTTAAGAGAAAGACTTATCTAAATTAAATTATTAAATATAAAAAATGCAAAAGTCTGTCATATTTCTGGGTTTTTAAACATCATCTGCTGCAGGTACAGTGGTACACACCTGTGATCCCAGCTACTTGGGAGGCTGAGGCCAGGCATCATAAGTTCAGGGCAGAGTAGCAAACTTAGCCAGACTTTGTCTTAAATTAAGATTTTTACAAAGGACTATAGATGTAGCTCAGTGGTGGAGGGCTTGCCTAGTATGTGCAAGGCCCTGAGTTTGAACCCCAGCAATGCAACAAATTAAAGTCCATATATTAAATTCATTGTTTTTTTATATTAAAATCATTTTTTTTAACAAATGAACCAAATTAGAAATTTACCTACCCTTCCTAATTGAATTATAAACAATCTAGATCAGTTCTGCCTCTTGTGGTGAATGCAGGTGAACACCTTTCTCTTAGGCATTTACAGCCTCAATCTTCACATCCTTGCCGCAGCCTGACATTCTCCTCACCTAGCACTATGTTCACATCATTTTTGTATTTCTCAGGGTATCTTGAATAGGCTAATTATTCTCCCCAAACCAAGTACAGAACATTCTCATTTTTTTCTAAGTTCAAAGGACTTATATCATATTCAGAATAAAAAGAGAAGAGTAAGTTTAAACACTGTATTTTTTTGATAACTATTTCCAAAAGTAGTCTTAATTCCAGGAAATGTGTATGTATGTCCTTATTATACAAATTAAAGTGAGAAGTGACTACAGTTGATGAGCCTTTATGCATCTGGGCAGAAGTGTCCCATTCCAATGGGGAATAATTATTGTCCTACTGCACAATATTGTGACTTTGACTCTGTGTCCTTCTTTCCTAGCCAAGGTGCATATTGGCCCCTGCTAAGCTAAGCAGAAAACTTCCACTGCCACTGCTGTGAATCTCAGCAGAATCTCAGAGACCAGTCTACTCCTATAGCCCTCGACACCATTCACTTCTGCTCAATAAGCCTCCTTAGGATTGCACCAACCCTTGCCTGTCCCTGAACTTAACTGATGAATTTCACCATTTCCACTTATATATATGGATTCAGACTCAAATATTTCCACAGAACACAATAAGTAGTGCAAGAATTCAGAGAGAAAAGCCCTTGAAGCCACAGACTTCATTTCCTACAGAAGCACGACTCAGTCTCCTTGCTCACCACAGCTGCCCTTTCCATTCTGACCATCATCAGGGATTTCAGGGTCTTCTGGTCTGGTATCAAAAAGGCTGAGATCTGCTCCCTAGTTTTGCTGCCTCTGAGCTCCTACACCTCCTGGGAATCAATTGTGCCCCAGACCTGAGATTATATTCTTTAAGAATGGATAGGATCTTGCCATTCATGGGTGCAGAAGCACATAGTAGCTCCCCAGCACCAACATTTGAATGGATAAACCAACCATTGTTCAGCCATGCCACTGAACTGAAAGGAACAAGCTATTGAGACTGTCAGCTTTGTTGAACCTCAAAGTAAATATGCTGAGCAACAGCAACCATTCCCCCCCCACAAAAGTGTACGCCACATGATTATATCTATATGACATTTTATAAAATGCAAACTAATCTATAGGAACAGAAATCAGCTGAGTGGTTGCCTGGGGAGGAGGTGGAAAATAGTTCATTGTGGTGCCAGGTGTGTATATGTGTGTGTGTGTGTGTGTGTGTGTGTGTGTGTGTGTGTGTGAAAATGATCAAATTATACATTGAAAATATGTACTATTAAATGATACTTATACATCAAAAACACTTTTGTTAGAAATGAAAGCTCTTCCAGTTTCCTAAAAAGGAAAGGACCCCATTCCCTCATGTAACCTACAGGTGTTAAAGTCATTTTGAATCAGGTCCTGAAAGACCTTCTCAGGTTCTCTTCTCCTTCTACTATCCAAAATGTGCCTCAGCCCCCAGCCCATCTGATCTGAGAATGCCTTCCATATTTCATGTTCATTAGTCAGGTTCCACTTGCCCTTGACCCTGATGCCTCCAAGGAGATTTTTTGTGATAGGAAATTCTACCTTGTCCTTTAAGGCTCAGTTCAATCACCACCTCCCACCCCTGAGCATTTTTCTAGTCTTCACAGGTCCACAGAGATAATCCCTCCCTCCCTTTTTCTACTCTGAGAGCCTTCAGTCAGTGGGCACTTCACACACACCAGAGTTGAAGGGTTTATGCCTGACCTCTGCCATTAGGCCTCACCATCTCAGATCCTAGACAGCTCCTACCTAAGTCTCCACACTGGCTGGCTTTCAAGCCCATGTTGAAAAAAAAAATTAAATCAATACCTTATGTGATGTCCTTGAACTCCCCCTGATCCTAATTGCAAATTTCAGGACAATGCTTTGCTGAGAAAGGAAAGCAGTCTCATTTCTAAGCTTTTTGCACCTTATGTGAAATAACAACAGTGAAAGAGATTCTGATCCAGACTCAGTAGTCAGACAGACCTACCTCCCACTGGGAGTAGTCATGTGGCTTAAGGGGAAGTTTGTGGGTGCCTGGGAGGACAGCCAGACAGCCATTGTTCCGGTCAATGTGCTCCATGGCGGTCCAAGCACAAACAATGCAATTGCTGGGCCTGAAGGGGAAAAAGTGTAGATCCTGGTACAAGGGGTGCCAGGAAGTCTTCCTGCCTGAAATGGGACTGCTGTCAAAAGGGGCTTAAACCTCACAATTCTTATCCTATGCTGGAATAAACAACACATTACCTTCCCCTGCCAAAAAAAAAAAAAAAAAATACTGTGGAAAATCATTCCCAATAGACCAGCACTAAAGTGAAATATTGAGTCAACATGGAGCATTTTCTTCTGAGTTACTGGTGGCTGGGTGCTTACATTCTTTTCTAGGAAGTTGCATATACTCCATCATCTCTGCTGTGCTTTATTTCTTTGTCACTCTGGATTTGGCACAGAGCTAGCATACAAAAGGATTTTTTAAAAATTTAAAAACCAAATGAATTAGTATTACTAATTAGTATTACTGATTCAAATTTGAGGTTCCCTTCTAAGTGGCTAATGCCACAAATAGTTTTTTTAGAGGTCTTAATTCACAGACATTAGGCATCCTCTGTATAGTTATTGACTAGTCAGAACCACTGACCATACAAACATTTTCCCCGTGTTTGAATTTAGAATTTGGTTCCCCCAAAATCTCATCCCACCAAGCAGGACATCCATGGAGGAAAACACTGTACTTCAGTCCTATCAAATAAACCTCTCCCAGCTGTCAAAAGGAAAAAAAAGTAGAAAAGGATACAGCCCTCTTGACTGATTTCTGCTGCTTGGTACAGAAAAATCTCTGAGTGTGGTCCAAGAGTCACCTGCAGTGGAATCTCTGAGCATGAGTATTAAATGCAGACATCTGGGATCTACTTCAGAATCAGTGTCTCTATGAGGACTTAGAATCTAGGTTTTGGCAAGCACAAGGCACCACGAGCACTTGAGTGTGACTTGTAGTAACAGCTTTCATCCTGTTACTAAAAATGATGTCTTCAGATCAGGAATGCAGAATCCATGTGATCCTGGCTAAGAATGGTTGGTGAAGATCACAGATGTTGAATAGAGGGAGTCTATGACATAATAATAGTCATGTTTCTCAACCTACTTTTCCAGGGAGCCAGTCATCTGAAAATTTAGCAATAACCTTATAATCAACATCTGAAATCACTATTACACTTCAAAGCTGATATAACATGAGCTATTTTAAGTCTTAAACAAAAGCACCCACATTCACTAACCCAGAGTTTAACAGTTACACCATGACCAGATCTAGAACTGATGAACCCAACCTGATCTTTTATTAAATTGGGAGCCATCTTGCCACAAAGCCATGAAAAGCTAATTT